TTTGCATATACTACTATTAATATAAAACTTACGTTTCCACTAGAAACACTTAACTAATGAAAAGCAAATTAAATTAAATATTTAATGAATGGGTTTTGAACTCATTGTCAAATATTATTTTAGTTGGAAATTGGAAATCTTGAAAGAACTCGATCAGTTATGGCTGAAGAACTGGTGAAATTAACAAATCAAAATGATGACTTAGAAGAAAAAATTAAGGAGATCCCCAAGTTACGTGCACAATTAAGGGTAGGTTTCTGTCAATTTATTTCAGAATAAACTTAAAGGAGACTATTACTAATATAAAACCATGTTGTGAACAATAGCAACAGACTTTTGGGCAACTACTATTATTTTTACAATAAAATAATAAGTGATAGTAACAAGGGCTGTTTTGACTGCATAAAAAGGTTTAGATCTTATATTAAACAAAAAATTAATGACAAAAAAAGTAAGAATCTTTGTGGGAACAATTTTATAATTACTGGACAATATTGTTCCAGGATTTGGATCAAAGATACAATACCATTCTGCAGATGTATGGAGAGAAAGCAGAAGCAGCAGAAGAATTGAGATTGGACCTTGAGGATGTAAAAAATATGTACAAGACTCAGATTGATGAACTTCTGAAGCAAAGGCATAGCTAATTATTGTTCAGGTTTTGATCTAAAAAAATGTTGCATTAAATTGTAGAGCTGTTTCTGTAAATGTAGTTAATTTGTAAAAAAAATGTACTATAAAGTGATTATAATGTTGAGTTGATGTGATGGCAGGAATCATTGTGCTTTTATGATGACCGGCTATCAGCCATTAAATTATTTGTTAATATTTAAAATCTTTTATCTCCAGCTTACTCTCTTGTCTATCATAGTATGCATATTTACTTGTACAGTAATAACTTTAATTGTGAAAACATATGATTGAAACTCTCACATTGATGGTGTTGTACTGTGTCCTTATGCCAGTAAAAGGGATACTGCTGGCAATTGGGATTCTCTTAGCTCTGCAGTGCTTGCATTGATTCCAGGTCTGCTCCTGAGAGGTTGGGAATCTCTGGGGGAAAATACAAAAATTGGAAACGAAGAAAGCAAGGAAAAATTCTATTGTGCAAAATATATTAATATGGCATTGCTATTCAAATATATATATATATATATGAAAATTTGCACTGATACAAATTTACTTCTTCATACTTATCTATTCCTATCTAAATGGATATTTAAAGGAAATATTGTGGGTACTTTTAACTATATTAATAGCAATGACTTGATTTGCTATAGGCAATAAAAAAGGTGGGATGTCTTTATACCCTTGGTATCCTGCTCATGTAATTTACTATACTGCCTCTTTAAAACAACACAGAGCAACTTACATTTTAAAAGCAACCAGATACCCTCTACTTGATACAATGTGCTATATTTTAAAATGTTTTTCTGTGTTTCAGCATAATATAGAGAAAGATAACAACATTTATTAGTTTAAAGAATTCTAAAAGGCAATGCAGGCATATGTTTGTAAGAAAGTTCACACTCAAATAGTTCCTAATTCAATGTGTGTCAATGCTTTAATATTTCAAAAGCCAGTAAACCTATTCCAAATGTTTCAAGTGACATGCAATGGTTTGAAAACTACTCTTTAAGAAAATATTTGTCAGAATATAAATGAGTAATGGTATTGTACTTGAAATTGTTTTCTAGTTCTTTAAGTGAAGCAGAAGAATCAACAATATCAGACTCTTAATATTCATACGGTTTTTGGAATATTACTGTTGTCACCTTATTGTGGTTCATTATTTTTACATGGTTATAAGGAACATTTTTAGAAAATTAACTTTATTCTACTGAGATATTTGACTTGATTCATCTTTTAAGGTTTTTAAAAATATTCCTAAAAAAATGAAAAATTATTTGATATATTTACCAAAAATTTACCTGTTGACAAACAGATAAAGACCACTCTCTGAAAATATGGAGAAGTAACTTGCCATACTTCTTAGCTGGTTAACAGAGAATTATCTTATGTTAGTAAGGTTTACTTTCCCTGGGTTAATAATTCTCCACAAAGGTTTTACTTAGCTTAAAGTAGAAACTTGGTAACTAACTTACCGTATATGAATCATACTCGGAAGAAACATATAATAATAACCTCCTGCAACTGAATTGTTTCTGAATAGTTGTAGAAAGTGTTGTATTATGGATTCCTGCTACACTGAGAAAAATAATTTTTTATACTATATGCAAAAAGTTGTAGCACAGATATTGAGGATTCCCCATTTTTTAGTTGCTCTATTTAAGGTTTTTAAATTTAGGAATAATTTAGTTAAGGAATTGCCCATCTATATTTTGAAATATTTCATTTTCAGGAAGTAAATTAAATTTATATTTTATAGTATGCATACATTTTCCTGATTCTGATATTGAACTGCAGTACACTCTAATGAGAAAATCTATTGACTCAAAAATAACTTTTGTTAGCAATTCAGTAATTCTGAAATAAAAATGAGCAATGGTTGCTGATGGTTTCCCTTTATATGTGACTAATCCTCAAAATAGTACATTAATACATACAAAATAACATTGGATCTAAAATTCAATTTATGACTTTTTATAAAAAAAGATATGCATATTATTTAATTTTAAATTACTTCTATATTTTATTTGAATTACATTAATTTAGAATAAATATTCTTCACTTTTGAGAAGAATACAATCTGTTATTGGGAAATCTCTGTTTGCCTTAAGAACAAAATCCTTAAAAGGTTTTTAACCCAATCCTTGACAATAATTTGTCCTTTTAGATAATTATTATCACATGTGGCCTATTTATAACCATTGGTTAAACTTAGATCTAAAATACAGGCGCATTGCAATGTAATTTTAGCAGTTCGACATCCTATTTCCTTTACATTTCTTCAATTTACTAATTTCACTCATCAAATGTCATGTCTATGAAATTTAATCTACTTTTACATTTTAAAATAATTAAAAATCAAAAAATATGTTTCAGACTGTTTATCCTTTATTCTGAAAATAGTTTGATCACTTTTAATGTGTTCTTCCCCTATAAATCTGTTCCAGTTTTTGCATATCTGTAGATACGTTTGTTTTGTTATGTACAAGGACATGAATATATTCGTTTTATATTCTGAAAAATGGTTATCTTCATAATGTTAACATAAAAAGTGAGTGCAAGAAGCAAGCGTTCATAACTGATTGTGAATACTGTTACTTTTATTATTTTTCTACTATAGAAATAAAGTTACACATTTGATTGTGAGGGACAGAGAATAAGATTTGAGAAACAAATTACTAAGAAAAATATAGCTTAGAATATATAGTAAAACACTTCTGCCAATAGGTACTTTGGGCATCTTAGTACTTTGGGGCAAATAATCAGGCCAGGTCCTTCTTAATATCCAGTGGGAATATTAGTTTGGCTTTTAATAAAACATATATAATTAATTGCAGCAGAATATTTTAGTTGTTTAAATCTTCATTGTGTCTGTATTAACATGTTTTATCTTTTTAATTTCAAGGAAAATCTAACATTTTATAAAGTAAATTAGTTTTAAATAATATGTATACATTAATATGGTACAGTACTATAAAACACTGTTAACATTGTGTAAATATGTTTAAGTTTTGGTTGGTTGTGTAAAATATTTGAAATGTTTTATGTTTTCTTAAATTAAAAAAAAGATTCTGGTGGCTGTTAATAGTTTGCAAGCAAATAATCAGTGATTCAATAAGTTCTCACTGCATGGGTTGAGTTTTTATGGGTACATACGGTGATACAAAATTATCACAATTCCCTTTTAAGGTAAGCAAAAAGTATTAATAATAAGGCAAAGAAATTAAAGACAGTTCATAACAAAATGAACTATAGTTAAATCTAGTTTGTAACAATACTTCCCAGTGTTCATACAATGCTTTCTATATTGCCTTTTGTTCTTTAAACTTCTCATCTTTTGTTCTGAAGATCTCTTCAATTCCATCTAACCACAAAATTCTTGATATTTGTTCTGCTGACTCATTCATTCCTCCATATATTTATTTTGTAATTCTTCCAAAAGAGGATACTGTGTGGCACATATTTGGCATACATTGTCTCAGTGGCATAAATCCTATTGATGAAAGAAAGAAATTAACTATCTTTAATGAACTTAATGTAATCATACTGGACCAATTAATTCTGGACTGGGAACTAGATACGATAGCTTGTGTCATATAAAAATAATATAGAGATTGCAGGAGCATATTAGTGCAATTTAAAACTGCAAATGGGCAGTGACTCCCCTCCCTCTCAAAAATCAAACAATTAAAGATTTTAGTTGAATGTAGGCTGTATTGCTTCTTTTAATCCATTTAAATTAGGATTTTAAAATTCTCAGATGTTTTACTACATAGCTAGAAAATTTCTTCACTAAGCAATTATGCTGCCATAACTACTGAAGCAATAGATGGGCTCCATTAGTGATATATCCCCTTAACAATACTGTACTGTAGTTGTATAATGTTGCAAAAACTCCATGTGTCACTAGCAATACTGGAGGAGTATTTTCAATTTTGCATTTTGATTACAATCCAATTTCAGTGATTCATCAAAACAGCTAAAGGCGTCTCAGAATTCTACAAGTTCCTGAATCAGAAACAATTTCAACTAGATGGGACAGAAGATTTTTTGGATATGTTTCACTAGAGAAACACACAATCCAGGAATGAAGAAGACATCACTAGAAGAGTTTTGAATGAAAGCACACAAACAACATCCAAAGAGAACACTCAGGTCTTTCCTTCAACATACATTTTGTGAAAGAATAATTGTATTCACTACAATTAATAACAGATACTGAAATACAGTTGTTTCAATTACTGTCTTAATATTATTTCAGACATGGATAATGATATCGTCACATGTATTTAAGTCTCATTAAGATTTATAATTTGTGTATTTTAACACATTGGTCCAAGATTGGGAAAACTCAGAGTGATTTGGGCAAATCATATCAGGCCTTCTTCCTACCTTGCAAGATTATTTGCTACTGTGAATAAAGGAAAATCCCAATACAAGCCACTTTGAGCTGCTGAAGAAAAGGTGGGATAACAATATTTAAAAAGTGAAGATGTCGTGCTGGTGACTAGTGTATACATCGAGGGCATTCTTGGCAAGAATAAATTCTTTTTTCCTTCTTATAGGATAGGATGTTCCTCAACTTCTCCATCGAATCAGGCTGATTCTCTGTTAATCTTCGTTCCCTGCCAAAACTAGCCTGCATCTATCATAAGCATGACTTGGATGACTGGGAATCTCTACAGACACTTAAGCTGCATCTAGTTCCCTTCTCTTGTTCCCACCTGCTGCTTAATGAAAATATGACCTATTTCAATATTCATTCCTCCCGTTTTAGAAAGTGTCCCTGTTTTTTNCATCTCTAAAATCCTGATTCCCCCCTTATGACATATAATTCTTACTTTGCTCAAAAAGTGAAATCTATTCATAGAGAGGAAGCCTAAAAGGCCGTTAACTTGGTTTAAACAAAGTTCAAATTGCCCTGATTAAAAATCAAATTGCCCCCCTGTGGGGCATTGGGAACCAGTGTTTTAAAAGATTATGAAGCAGTATACAAGGCTAAGTGCTATTGCTATTAAACTGTTTGAAAATATGACAATTCTACTTATAAGAGAAGATTGCATTTTCTATGTCTGTGCTATTGGAATTTATTATCTCTCCGAAATGCTATTTTTCATGGTTTTCTTGTTTCTTTTTCCTTCCAGGAGCGTAAATTATACATTTCATCAACAATGGAAACTTTGTCCAGCACCCCAACTCTCTCACGATCAAGCTCCATAAGTGGAGTTGATATGGCAGGACTCCAAACCTCCTTCATATGTCAGGTATTGCTCTTTTTACTTTTCAACCCATTTTTTTTGCTGTTTATGCCTCTTTTCGCAACATTATATTTAAACATTTTATTAGCATTTTCATTGAATCCACTAAAAGCTTCAAATAGTTTTATCACTAAAAATGAAATAGGAATGGTAAAGGCCGCAGAACAGAATATGGGGCATAAATAAAATTAGATCTTTATCTTAATCTACTTTTGGTGAATTCAGATTAAAGTTTATATATCATGTATAAAATCATATAATAAAACTGTTTTGCAGTAAACTTTCTAGAACATTAATTAATAACAGTAATCATTTTGTTGCTATTATTTCCAAGGCATCTTTTAATCTCTTACAAGTTACATTCATCTGTCATATGTAATCCCTTTGTAAACAATTGCACCTTTACGAGAAATGAAAAATACATTAGGCTGTAAAAATAGTGACTAGCTGGAGGTCATTTAATGCTTATCATGGCTATTCAGGGATTTCTGTCTGCTTGGTCTATCCACGTTGCCATGCTGTGACATTTTATTAGCTTTCTTTTCAGAGTTTTTAAAAAAAACATTATTATGGTAAAAATCATAAACAATTCGGCTCCAGTCTAACTTGTATTTAATTTCATGGTTATATCACATTGCAGGATGACCAGTATGACCATTCCTTTGGTTCAGTGTCTGCAAGTGGGACCAATCTGTATGACGTAATGAGAATGGGAGCAGGTTCAAGTATTATAGAAAATCTTCAGTCACAATTAAAGTTACGGGATGGAGAGATTTCTCATCTCCAGGTAAATAGAATCATGGATCAATTCGTTAGATAGTGTGTGATCAAGATTAATAACATGCCAGTCAGAGTAATTTAGCTAATGTAGGTTCAACTGAAGTTGGATTAATATAGTAGGACGACCATATCTTAGATTGTTTCTGTTGTTACAAGCCAAAAATAAGAAAAAAAGTAATTCAAATAACAATTACTCCTAATAATTATTTTGCAAAGTAATATAGCTGAGAGAGACCTTTAGGGAGAAAGAATGATTGCTTAGAAGACTTTTCTAAATGTTGATCTCATGAGCTTGCATCTCCTTAAATCAAATCTAAGGTTTTGTGGTGCTAGTAATGTATTTTCATCTATTCGTTTTACTTTATCCTGTGTACGTCAAATTAGAAAATATAGAAGTCTAAAGTCTTTCCCAAGTTCACAATGACTATTCAGACTTATATTATAAATGGATGAATTGGTTTTAAGATGTGTACTTTATTTATATTAGGCTTTTATTTTGCATATACTACTATTAATATAAAACTTACGTTTGCACTAGAAACACTTAACTAATGAAAAGCAAATTAAATTAAATATTTAATGAATGGGTTTTGAACTCATTGTCAAATATTATTTTAGTTGGAAATTGGAAATCTTGAAAGAACTCGATCAGTTATGGCTGAAGAACTGGTGAAATTAACAAATCAAAATGATGACTTAGAAGAAAAAATTAAGGAGATCCCCAAGTTACGTGCACAATTAAGGGTAGGTTTCTGTCAATTTATTTCAGAATAAACTTAAAGGAGACTATTACTAATATAAAACCATGTTGTGAACAATAGCAACAGACTTTTGGGCAACTACTATTATTTTTACAATAAAATAATAAGTGATAGTAACAAGGGCTGTTTTGACTGCATAAAAAGGTTTAGATCTTATATTAAACAAAAAATTAATGACAAAAAAAGTAAGAATCTTTGTGGGAACAATTTTATAATTACTGGACAATATTGTTCCAGGATTTGGATCAAAGATACAATACCATTCTGCAGATGTATGGAGAGAAAGCAGAAGCAGCAGAAGAATTGAGATTGGACCTTGAGGATGTAAAAAATATGTACAAGACTCAGATTGATGAACTTCTGAAGCAAAGGCATAGCTAATTATTGTTCAGGTTTTGATCTAAAAAAATGTTGCATTAAATTGTAGAGCTGTTTCTGTAAATGTAGTTAATTTGTAAAAAAAATGTACTATAAAGTGATTATAATGTTGAGTTGATGTGATGGCAGGAATCATTGTGCTTTTATGATGACCGGCTATCAGCCATTAAATTATTTGTTAATATTTAAAATCTTTTATCTCCAGCTTACTCTCTTGTCTATCATAGTATGCATATTTACTTGTACAGTAATAACTTTAATTGTGAAAACATATGATTGAAACTCTCACATTGATGGTGTTGTACTGTGTCCTTATGCCAGTAAAAGGGATACTGCTGGCAATTGGGATTCTCTTAGCTCTGCAGTGCTTGCATTGATTCCAGGTCTGCTCCTGAGAGGTTGGGAATCTCTGGGGGAAAATACAAAAATTGGAAACGAAGAAAGCAAGGAAAAATTCTATTGTGCAAAATATATTAATATGGCATTGCTATTCAAATATATATATATATATATGAAAATTTGCACTGATACAAATTTACTTCTTCATACTTATCTATTCCTATCTAAATGGATATTTAAAGGAAATATTGTGGGTACTTTTAACTATATTAATAGCAATGACTTGATTTGCTATAGGCAATAAAAAAGGTGGGATGTCTTTATACCCTTGGTATCCTGCTCATGTAATTTACTATACTGCCTCTTTAAAACAACACAGAGCAACTTACATTTTAAAAGCAACCAGATGCCCTCTACTTGATACAATGTGCTATATTTTAAAATGTTTTTCTGTGTTTCAGCATAATATAGAGAAAGATAACAACATTTATTAGTTTAAAGAATTCTAAAAGGCAATGCAGGCATATGTTTGTAAGAAAGTTCACACTCAAATAGTTCCTAATTCAATGT